GCACCTGTAGTACTGGCCGTTGTATGCAATGCCTGGTTTATGTGAATAATTATCTACTTGGCTTGAATAACTTGGACATTGTAAACTTTGTCCGGTCAGTGTTTACAATGACCATTTATCCACCTGGACCGTAACATATACATTTATAATAAACAATAATTGACACTACAAAGTCGAAAATATCGATATAATAAGCAGTGTGCGCAAATAAAGTTATCTTCTATTATTAGGTACTACAACTGCAGGTTAGAAATTCGTATAAATTAAAAATTATTATTTCCTTCTCTTCAATTTTTTACAAAACGTATCTCAGGTACTAGGTATACTGAAGGATCAATATATGTATATATATTTTAAAACAGCTTGCTCGTCTTATATATACGATCGGTAAAAATATGTAATTTGTTCCTAAAATCAAAAAGGTGCATGAAATGGTTATCTTTCAGAGTTCCCGTCGAATAACAACGTGACGAACAACAAACCCTACTGCAATATCGTAATATAAGTATATAATGTAATTAAATATTTATGTGTATAGCTATCAAATACGTATCAAATAGGTCCATATTGAGAGTGTTTTATAAGTTCATAGCTGTTCGCAACGTCTCTAGAAAATGAGATACAAACAACGAATCAGGAAGTTTTGTATTGATATATTCTCCATATTTTCACGTAATTTAATAATAACGGGATAATAGTTTTAAAGCAGATTTAAAATATTATTTATGTACAGTACGAGTATATCGCATAATTATTTCGATAGTCAACTCATTTTAAATATTATACATTTTTACATAATGTAGCGAAACGTCCGTATTACAGTCTCGTGACGAAAAAAAAAATCGCATTAGTTGTAGAGAATTTCGTTCTATAGAATTAAATAAATTTGATTCTAATTTGATTTGGTCCATAAAAATATTTCGTTAAACAGAAAATATCGATAGATGGAAATTTGTTGTATGCAATTTTCACGGTAGGTATAAATTGAACTATATATATGGACGAAAACGTAGGTAGATATTTCTATATAATATGTATGGTATAATAAATCATATCTATATTACAATAAGTATAGAACTGTTCAACGATAAAAAATAGATTTTTGAATATAAAATACATTAAATTATTATATCAGGACAACTCGACAACGGAAATTTAATTTGGTCGGTATTTACGGCACGCGCGTGCAATTATAGCGGACACGAGAAAGTCTAAATGAGAGTACCCTCTAAAGTACGTGTGCCCAATAGATAAAATATATCTTGTATTTGTACGGTGTCAAACTGTATATTATGCATTATAGTTTGTACCTAATTCACAAACTACTTAATTGAAACAATATAACCGTTTTCGTTTTCCAGTCGTAAATTGCAATAACGCAGCAATGGGTTCGAAATAATTACTATACGTACGTATATTATGATGATAATATACGAAAACAATAAAGAAACGACCAGCGAATAAAAATGATATTATACGTATAGCGTTATCGATGTGCCTTGTTGCGGTGTGAATATTGATTTATCGTAGAGAATTTTTAATTTTTTTTTTTCAGTGACATAATAAATGTTAGGTATTTTAAATTTGTGATGTAGATACTTATTGGTAATGCACTAGATATAGGTACCGTGTGCCATGATATAAGTACAAATTAAATATTAATAATGAAAGTTCACTTGCGCTATGTATCAAAATTCAAAGCGTATCTATATGTTATTATGCATTAGCTTGCTATCCTTTAACACACAACAACGAATGCTAATTTTTTTTAATGGACGTGTAAAATCATGATAAAATTTTTTCATATCTATCAAAGCAACGTAATTTTTTTAATGTAATTTTTTTTTACAAAGTATAAAAAGTATTATATGTTATGGAACAATATTACCAACTGCTTTTAATATAAAACCGATTAGATTAAAACTCAGCATATAATATTTCAAATTAATAATTTTAATAGACTTTCATAGAGTAAGAATTTCAACTCTCTATTATATTTTTGAATTTCAACAAGAAAATAAAATGATTTTTTCGAAAACTGGTCTTGTGTATTTTCATTCTTTCCTAATAAATACATATAATGATATTTGGTTTTTCGCTTTCCWCAATTATTGCTAAAATTAGTGAACATTTCCATGTCAATTAATTCTAATTTTCGAAGTCAACCACACAAAGATTGATTCTGATGAGCGAGCCTCATCGTGTGCCAGGGACAGACAGACAGAACAAAAAGTGCGTTCGCGTRTCGTGTGTTAATTTCGGGGGGGATATTGCTTACCGGATTTTCCAACAGTTCCTGGAAACGGCACTCTATGTCCTTGCCCCGTTTGGGCCTGATCAGCAGGTAAATGTTCTTCAGACCGGGACACGACCTGAGCAGCTTCTCGATCAATGCCTTGCCCACGAACCCCGTGCCACCGGTGACGAACACCGACGCGCCGTCGTAGAAGTCGACCACTTTCCCGTCAGCGGGGCTTGCGTTCCAGTCCTGGCAACCGAGGTCGTTGTTGTTGTCGGCCATCATCGYAATCGAGTGCAACGGTGTGATGTATTATATTCAATGATATATAATATGTCGTGGATCACTGCCGACGTCCCACCGCGGTTTTGAGTATCAGTACAGACCCTGTGTTCGGTGACCGTTGCCGTTAAACCCTGACGACCGCTGAACGACCGGACATTGTGTGCCGATATTCGTATGTTTATGACGACGCTGCAACGATAGAAATTCAATAAATTATTTAAAAAGTACAACGACTGCTTACGACTATATATTATAATATAATGTAAAACGTTCATTCAGTGAGTGAAAATGGAATAGAATATTGTACAAGGTGACGGTGGCGTGGGTGGTGGTGGTAGTGGTGGGGGTAGGGGGTAACGAGAGGAGACGMGGCGCATTATTATGTCACGGTTTTAGGCACAATGGACTGACGTAGTCATAATGACAAGTGGGGTAGAAGAGAGTCGTTGGCAAATGTCTCTTCCACGTCTTCTACCATAATTTACTGTTTAATAGTGTATATATTATATTATCATGTAATTAGAAATACTGAATTATCGCATTGATTGATGATGTGCATCWGGAGACTAGGACAGGTACYASGATTATTATTTTATTAACTTCAAATAATAATAATGTCGTGGTACCGTACGTTGTAATCTTGATACGTATTTGAGAAAGATTAAATAAGTTTAACTACTCTTTACTGTATGTTCTATTTTATTCATAATATAATTTAAATATCAAAATAATTAAGCGCACAGTCGTAASCTCACTAGATTTTCGACTGGTGACGCAGACTATAATACGTATCTTCTGATCTCCTCTATCCGTATTGATAATATACAGTGCTGTAGTCCAAAAAAAAAGCAGAGGGTATATTATAAGTTATAATATTAAACATTTATATAGGTATACTAACATTATGTATCACTTTGGTAGAGGGTAAATAACACAACACACGTACATTAATTGTACAAATTAAAATTAAAACTGAACATTTTACTAAACAAATATTACAGAAATTACCGCACTAATTTATTTTTGATTGTTATATTATTATCTAATAATCTACAGCACATTGCCGTCAATCGCCCAATATATGCATTTAATTATATACATATATATAAATTATGTTTTAAAACAAGTTGTCTATCTTAATAAGTGATWCTTAACATTCTTAGTTTTTCTATCAAACATATTAATAATAAYCTAATGACTTTTATCTTTATATTGTTTGGTAATTTCACTATAACAGAGAGTATGTACGACCTTAATCAGAAGGTATACGGAGTTCTTTTAGAAATAACCAGAAAGTATACGGCGTATACCCTCGTATACACTCCACGACTACAGCAATGATAATATATATGGATTGTAATAGGTAAAAAAAAACTTTTTTTTATCACCTTTGCTCTAGGCTTTACGCGTTCACCATGCATTGACTACAAATACCAACATTACATGACATATATCATAAAAATTATTATACTGAATGTATACTTTCTTACCTAAAGTCCATCGAAATAATCATAAAATAAGACGTATACTGGCATACTGCGTTTTGGGTTTACCGTTCTATCAACGCGTCTGGCGGCGGTGGCTTAAC